AAATAAAAAAATAATCTATTCGATTTATATTAACATCACCAAAACACTATGCCGTCATCAAATACATCAATAAATATACTGAAGTATATTAATTATTTTTAACTATTCTTTGCAACGGTTTATATAATTATTTATCGAAACAGATCCAATTCAAAAGCGAATAAGCATTTACAAAAAATCAATAAAAATGAATTCATTTAAAGCGTTTTGATTCCAGCGGTTCTCTACGACAAGACCTCAAGGACTTCTTCGAGTTTCCGCATTCTTTATTCCTAATTTTTATTGTTATATTTATTGTTATATTTCTATTGTTAACGAAATCTTTATCGTAAATATTATTATTTTTTTTTTACGTCTTACGTTTTATTCACATAAAGTTATAATAGAAATTGTAATAATGATTGGAATAAAGAATAAAAAAAAAAAAAAGGAAAATTAAATTTAAATCTAGGTAAATGAATAATTGGATAAATAATAACTAATACTAAATTAAATAAACCATCATCGAATGTAAAAAGTCTTCGTTTTAAGTATTTTTAACCTCGTTTACCAGGAAATAAGAAAAATTTGTTTTGAAAAAATAAACTGTTTTTTAAAACTTAAATGATTTTGCTTAAATGATTTTTTTTTTGTTCAAATTGCTTTTTTACAATTACTTTTGTAAAATGCGGTAGTGGTGTAGTGGTAGAGCGCTCGCTTCATAAACGAGTGGTTCCGAGTTCGATCCCCACCACGTCCCTGGTAGTACCGCGCTCAACTCGTTTCTCCGCGCAGCGGCCTTGCTCGTCAAGGTTCGTGTTTCGGAGTTTTAGAGTTGAGAGAGGGTTATAACCTTAAATAAGTAGCCTCCTCGTCTGTAGTGGCCTTCTCGGCCTTGAGGAGGTGAAATAAAATAAAAAAAAAAAAAAAAAAAAAAATGCATATAAGAATGAATAAATGAATAAATGCGCATATAAGAATGAATAAAGGCGCATATAAAAATGAATAAATGCACATATAAGAATGAATAAAGGCGCATATAAAAATGAATAGACGCGCATATAAGAATGAATAACCCTGTAAATATTCCAACTTTAATTTTGTGTTTAATTATTAAACACAAACATTAACAACAACACAAACAACAACAAACAAAACACAAACAATAACAAAACACAAACATAACAAAACACAAACACAACATTAAAATTAATGTTTGTGAAATTATTAATTTTTAATTTGATCAATTAAAGTAGCAGTATATTTTGTAATTCGAATAGGTTTATTTATTGTTGGAATAGATCTATTTTAAAACATAATATTAAAAAAGTTCTGACTTCTTTGTTTTTGTAGTATTCAAATTCAGATTGCCTACGAAGGAACGCATTTGCCATATAACTCTTCGCTTATAATTAAGCTTTTAATTTGCTTGTTAAATGCTTTTTTTTATTACCAGAAGGCGGTCGTGTACAACCACGTTCTTGCAAATTTTGTTTATAACTTCAATTGATAACAATTCAAAATCATGCGTAACAGCAAATCAATTTTTGCGTTTAAGAGTTGTGGATAAAAATGCACAATCCTCCATCTTTTTTCAGAGTCTCTAATTTGAAGAAAGACATTATAATTATAAAGTTGAAAATTAGAATTGTTTTCAATTTCCTTATCACGGCACCATGTTTCGGTTCGACATAATTTGAAAGTTAATTTTGACACTAAACAAAAATTATTTAAATTTTTCAAAATTTTTTTGGAGGCTCCTAATATTAAGGTGTAGGATAAATAATGCAATTGAATTTATATCAGCAGTAATACTTGAGATATCTGAACTATAGTAATAAGGAATTAGATTTAATAATTCCTCATCGTCATTATAAAATTTAATGTCTATATCTGAATGATTTTTGACCAGTATATATTCATTTCTTAATATGTCAATATTATTAAAAGCGCTATTATCAAAATTATCCCTAAATAGTCGATTAGTTTCCATTTTAAAAATATAAATTTACGATAACAAATATAAATAAAAAATTAATTACTTTTCCTTTTGAATCCACACTCAAGAACGATTAGTTTATTGTAAGATAGTGTCGCAAACTTGTCCAGCTCTCGTTCCTTTTTCATTCGCTTTTTTCAATTTTTTCTTATTAATATTGTTTCTACGCAGAATTCTTCATTAACGTAAACTTTTTTTCCTTTTAATTTTTGGGCGTCTTTTAAAATAGCAACTTTATTTTTATAATTTAAAAGTTTTATAACAACTGTTCGAAACTTTATCGAGTCTCTAATCCCAGTCCTATGGGCCCGTTCAATTTTTATATTTTTCAATCCAAGTGAATCTTCGAAGAGTTTTTGCACTTTTAATTCAGTCCAGTGCCGGATCAAGGGGGCTAGGGGGTGCTATAGCCCCGGTCCCCGCAAATTTAGGGGCCCCCAAAAATTTTAGAGGACCTTATTATTATTTTTTTTTTTGTTAAGTCATTTTAAGGTTCTGACCCATAAAAAGGCCTCCAAAAAC